GCTGCCTCCATCATCAGCGCTCTAATGATCAGGAATATCTCGCTTTGCTTCCAACACACTCTGGTTTTCGAGTCTATAATAAAACAGAGAAATATGAGAATTATCGAAGTCTACTCAAAGAGTTCTGAATGTGATTTGTGAACTGCAAATATTAGCCTTAAATATTAACAGATTAACAAGTTAACTAGTTATTGGGTTTTCATGGTGCCGTGGACTCAATCATGCCTTGACTTACAAATATCGTGCTTTATTACCGTCAATTTGTCATATTCTTTATACTATTTCCGAATGTTTGTTGACATTGACTAGATATTTGGACTAAAACTAATCATCAGGTTTGTTAGATCGCACGTATGTCAATTCACATTTTTATTGCAAATAATAATAACCAACATATGACATTAACGTTTGTAATGTTATGGTTGGACAGCAGATAAAATAATCCCCTGGTGGAATATTTTAAATCGCGTAAAATCGTTAAAATTATGTTGTTAAAATGTCAGAATCGACGGCAGAGGACTTTTCTGTTATCGAATTACTGTTTTCTTTATTTCTGCGTTTTGACGTTGTGCTTGTTCAAAGTTCTAGAGCCGTATTATCAGACTTTCAATTTCCGTTTATTCAATATAATTGTCTCGACCCAACTTTGGTCTAACTCGACGCTCCACTCGCGCAGGGAATGTACGAGGTGCGATCGGAAAGTTTCCAGACTGTGTCAATAGCGGACGAACCGGATGTAGTACGAGCTTCTGCCTTTAGGGGGTGCGGCCAACATTAATAGTGAATCAGTGTGCCAGTCGGCATCATCGAATTAGCATTTGTTTCTTAGTTACGGGCGTTTTGGTAGTGCATTACACCGACCCTCCTGCGATTTCGGAATGGCGTGTGCATCAAATTTTGCCAAAGACTCGCCAAAACGGCTACAGAAACCTATGAAATGCTAAAGCAAGCATTTGGGGAAATACTTCGAAATGGGTCGTGCACAAACTTTTGTGAGGCATTC